ATACTGTGCAGTGGGCTTATAACTAACTAGACGGATAACTTAGCAGACCTTTTGAATGACATCTAAGTTTAAAATCAGCAACTGTAGGGCCGTTATTTCAACCATTCGCATTTGTGGTCATCTCTAACCGACTTTGTCGTCACTGTCCGGAGTTGGCGGAGAGGGTCATCGTTACGAGGCCCGGCTTGATACGTCTGGGAAGAAACCTGTAAGGTTTCTTCGTTGATCGACCCACTGCAGTGTCGCTGAATTAAACCAAGAATTTCCCAACTGCCTCGCGGACTAAGGAGTTCAATGATTACTATTTGCTACTACCTTCTACGACGCGGGGCGTAAAGCGAAACCGAATTTTGTGCTAAAGATCTTGGCTGTGCTGGATTTTCCTGGTCTGGCAGCGTCAAAAGGTCTTGCAGGTGGCAATTCTCCTGCGGATAAGGAGTAAACCTTAAGGTGCGTGTGAACGAAGACATGGTCTGATACACTGGCTCCGCTAGCTCTGGTAGTATAAATCGAACTTGCCTTGTTTAATTTCCGGGGAAAGTAATGAGCGAACGCGGAGTAAATCCTTTGGAACAGACTGGTCCGAAATTTTATTTGAATATTTGAACTGAAACTAATCAGCTACTGTGGAATACTCGTGCAATATTCCCAAACGGCCAACAGGCAGCCAGTGGTATAGAATTGTGTAATCATTTGCCGTACTGACAACGCAGGTACAAGCTAAAAACCCAGTGTTGTCAGCACGGCAAATCATTACACAATCCTATGCTACTGGCTGCCTGTTGGCGGTTTGTGAATATTACGCGATTATTTCGCATTAGTTGATGGACTTCAGCTGAAATATTCATATCAAATTCTGGACCGTGCCTGAAAAGGTCCGTTCCCAAGGATTGACTTCAAGTTCGCGCATTAATTTCTTTGCAAACTAAATAAGACAAGATGAAACTGGAGTTCATATACCAGAAAACACATGGAGAAGGTTGAGGGACCCACTGATGAGCCGAACTCTTCGCAGCTGCGTCAGGCAGCAGTACAAGATCGTCGAAACACGCGAGTGGGTTTTAAGCCTGCACTAGCGTCATCAGAACGATAAATAATTACACAACAAATCGAACTGTTATCACGGACCAAGTTTCGGAAGCCTGGATCGACTAGAATATGATCAATCCGACTGGTCTTGCGGCCGTCGTTTGAATACCAGGTCAACAGGTGTTTGTGACGGTGCAACAAGGACACGTTTGTGGCAGTTCTGGTCAGGAATGTTCAGCATTCTCCCAAAGTTGTCACATCAAGAGCCAAGTCCGAGGAGGCCGTGGCTTTATGGAGTTAATGGGTTTAGGTCGACCACCCTAGTATCCAGCAACAATCAGCAGATTAGGGCGAGGGCGTTCTTCAACCAGGCCCTGCAACTGCGCGTAGATTTCTTCCTTGCGTCGGTAGGCACCTGATGTTCGTTAACTCTTTAGTCGTGCGTAAGACAGCCGGTCACCGACTTTTTTTCACGTTATGAGGACGGTTGCCACACCGGGTCTACCAGAAAAGTCACGCACTATTGTGATATAGGATGAAATGGCAGGTGAACTTTGGGGTCTTGATTTCACGAGTAGGAAATTCGGACTCTGGACGGGCACCGCACATTTACGTTGTACTGATAAGGAATTCGCGTCGTCAGACTTTGAGCACCATAGTTCACGAAAGTGAACATCCGAACATCTAACTGGAAGTTTGTCATCGATTGAGAGGCCCAGCTCGCATATTATTCGACCGCAGCACTTGGCCAGGGTTCCAAAATGCGTCAGTTTCCGCAAACGCTGTAGCATGGGTCGGAATACATTAGTCGGACATTTTTTCATGAGGTTTCCTGGGAATTTTGAGTCCTGACGGGTCCCCAACGGCCGCCCGATTGTTTCCTCGAGCGCTTTGGTTGAAGAAGGCAGCGGCAGAAATCAAACTTATTTTATGAAGGTTAGGGGTCGCCGTGCCACAGTGCCGTCATCGGGTTTTGTGGCACTTTTTAAGTCAGTCGGCAAGCTAGGCCTCTGCCCTACACAGCCTGGCGGCATTGTCGCTGTCGGTCCTCGGCTGCCTATTTGTCCGACTTGAAAGCCTGCTAATTTCGCAGTTTATCTTTGCTGAAGGTCCTTGCATTATCTGCCACCTGCGGACATGCCGGGTAGCCAGCAGTTATGTGGGAGAGGGGGGGGGGAGAATTCGTCTCCGTGGTGATAAAGAGAAATGGTTCGGGCCGCCAGTAGACCCGATGAACGCGATTTACGTTGGGG